CCCACCCACCTCTCGCCCCACCCTCCCACCCTCCCACCCCCCCCTGCCCCACCCTCCCACCCACCCCCGCTCCCCCCGGTGGCGGCGGCGGTGCAGGAGAAGAAGTTCCACCTGCAGAACCACATGGACAAGGTGAAGCAGAAGGTGCGCACGGTGGAGGAGCGCTCCAAGGAGCTGGTGCAGCGCGTCGAGGAGAAGGGCATCGACCTCATCCAGAAGTGGGAGGAGAAGTCGCGGGAGTTCATCGGAAACTTCCTGGAGCTCTTCGGCCCCGAGGGCACGCTGGTACGTGGCGGCGGTGGTGGTGGTGGTGGTGGTGCGGGTACACGGGGGGGTGTGTGCGTGTGTGTGCGTGTGTGCGTGCGTGTGTGTGTGTGTGTGTGCGTGTGTGTGTGGGTGTGTGTGCGTGCGTGCATGTGTGTGTGTGGGTGTCAGTCATCCCGGTCATCGCGGTCAGTCGACCCGTGGCAACTGCTCACGCTGGTACGTGGTGGTGGTGGTGGCGGGTACACGGAGGAAGCGCGTGTGTGTGTGTGTGTGTGGGTGTGCGTGCGTGTGTGTGTGTGCGTGTGTGTGTGTGTGCGTGCGAGTGTGGGTGTGTGTGTGTGTGTGCGTGCGTGTGTGTGTGTGCGTGTGTGTGTGGGTGTGTGTGCGTGCGTGTGTGTGTGGGTGTCAGTCATCTCAGTCAGTCGACCCGTGGCAACTGCTCACGCTGGTACGAGGCGGTGGTGGTGGTGGCGGGTACACGGGGGAAGCGCGTGTGTGTGTGTGTGTGTGTTTCTGTGTGTATGTCTGTGTAGTAATAATAGGTTTTTACCCTTTAAACTGGTACAAAAACGGACACCTTTATACAAGGCATCATGTTTGCAATAACCACAACACAAGCAGTCATAATGCAAACAAAAAACACACAACTCTGATAATGTATGCGCTGTCCTTGAAGTTGATTGGTCCACACCCGAGACAGCTTTTCTTAGAGCCAAGTCTCACATGGTGTTGGACCAGATGACGCCAAAAGGCGCACTGTCTGTGTGTGTGTCAGTCATCTCGGTCATCTCGGTCAGTCGACCCGTGGCACCTGCTGGGTCTGCCCCGTGACCTCCTGCCAGTGGGTGTTCGACACTTCACGTGGCCTCAAGGTGCACTTGGCCTGGCACAAGCGTCGTGGTGACGTCACCGCCACTTAGTGGCGAATGGCGGTTGTTGTTGTTGTCGGTCATCTCGACGCCCGGGTGCGATCAAGGGATGGCTCCCTATTGGTCAACCACGTTATGTATGCCGATGATTTGGTAATAGCTGCTCATTCAGAAGAGGAGTTGGAGACGCTGCTGCTGAGACTGGAGCGTGCCACTAAGAGGTGGGGCCTTACCATCAGCCCCACCAAAACTAAGCACCTGGCCTGGGTATTTTGTACCATCGGGCACTCCACCCCCACAACTCCCAATTGGTGATGGGGCAGTAGTGGAGAGATTGGAGAGTTTTCCACACCTGGGCAGTGTGCTTATGACCGGATCCAGTTTAACAGCAGAGGTCTAACTCCGAATCAGTCGAGCGGCAATATCTTTTCATCGGTTGCGTAACGCTGTGTGGAAGCTACCTGGTCTGTCGCTCCGCACGAAGCTTCAGGTCTTCTCGGCCACAGTCATTCCCTCCCTTCTCTACGCTTGTGAAACGTGGACCCCCCAAATGGAACATCTTCGCCGGTTAGAAACATTTAGGCTGGCCTGCCTACGATCCATCCTGGGTTTAACCAGGCTGGATTGTTTGAGGAGCTCACAAATCTTTGAAAGATCTGGTCAAAGTCCCATCGGTGAGCTCCTCCGGCAGGCAAGGCTGCGTTGGCTGGGTCATGTAGCCCGCATGCCCAGCCACCGCATGCCTAAACAGCTTTTGTTCGGCCGGATTGACGGAGCTAAATGGGCGCGGCACGGGCTGGAGAAGAGATGGAGTGACGTGGAACAGGAGGACGTGGAGCTGAGTGGACTTGCCGATGACTGGTACCAGCGGTGTCAAGATCGGCCTCTGTGGAGGAGGCTCGTGAAGGACGCTACTGGGCAGTTGGAGGACAGTCGCCCTCCAACAACAACGGAGGGCGGAGGAGCGACGCTCACAACAACACACACACACACCCACACACTCACACACACACCTACACACACATCCACACACACACACCCCCACACACTGACACACACCCACCCACCCACCCCCCCACCCACCCCCCCACCCCCCCACCCCCCCACCCACCCCCCCACCCCCCCCCCACCCACCCCCGCTCTCCTCCCGCCCACAGAAGCACATGCTGCAGGAGGGCAAGGGCCGCATGCTGCAGGCCATCAGCCCCGGCAGCAGCCCGGCGCGCGAGCGCTCCCCGTCGCCCCCGGCAACGCCCTCGTCACCGGCACCACCGCTCTCTCCCTCCTCCACCTCCTCCACCTCCACCTCCTCCCCCTCCTCATCGGCGGCAGCAGCGGCGGCGTCGGCGGGGACCCCGGGGTTCCGATGGCCGTTCTCGCGGCACCCGGCGGTGACGTCGCCGGCGTTGTCCGGTGGGGCGTCTCACCGCCCCGGCAAGCCCCGGGCGCCGTCGCCGCAGGGCCGGGCGGCGCGCGCCGCCGCCGCCGGGGAGCGGAGGGACGGGCGGAGAGCGCAGAGGGAGAGGGGAGGGGCGGCAGAGCGGGGGGAGCAGCGGGGGGGAGGGCAGCAGCAGCTGGGAGGGCAGCAGCGGGAGATGCGGGAGCAGGAGGAGGAGGAGGATTGAGGGGGGGGGCAGAATCACACGCTGGGACATGATGGGACACACACACACTGACACACACACACTGAGACACACACACTGGGACACGCTGACACACTCATACTAACACACTGACACACTGGGACACGCTGGGACACACACACACTGACACACACACACTGACACACACACACACTGACACACACACACTCACTGACACACACACACTGACACACACACACTGACACACACACACTGACACACACACACACTGACACACACACACTGACACACACACACTGACACACACACACACTGAGACACACACACACAGACACAAACACTGACTCACACACTCGCACCGTACGGACTGCTTGATGAGTGTTTGCTTTAAACCGGCTGTCCGTCATCCTCCCACCCAGAGCCACCACCACCACCACCGCACCTCCGGTGGGCCACATAGAACACGCGACATGCGTCTGACATGCGTCCGACATGCGTCCGACATGCATCCCACATGCATCCCACATGCGTCTGACATGCGTCCGACATGCGTCCCACATGCGTCCCACATGCGTCCGACATGCGTCCGACATGCATCCCACATGCATCCCACATGCGTCTGACATGCGTCCGACATGCGTCCCACATGCGTCCCACATGCGTCCGACATGCGTCCGACATGCATCCCACATGCATCCCACATGCGTCCGACATGCGTCCGACATGCATCCGACACGCGTCCGACATGCGTCCCACATGCGTCTGACATGCGTCTGACATGCATCCCACATGCGTCCCACATGCGTCCGACACGCGTCCGACACGCGTCCCACACGCATCCCACACGCGTCCGACATGCGTCCGACACGCGACCGACATGCATCCGACATGCGTCCGACACGCGTCCGACATGCGTCCGACATGCATCCGACACGCGTCCGACATGCGTCCGACATGCGTCTGACATGCGTCCCACATGCTTCCGACATGCGTCCGACATGCGTCCGACATGCGTCCTGTAAATTATTGTACGGAGAATGATCGGTGTGGGTGTAATGGTGACGGCGGTGGTGGTGGTGATGATCATCTTGATGTGAAGATTTCGCTGCCGCAGAGATCCACCGCTATTTTTTGGTTTGTTTCAGGCAAAGCCACTTGAGGCAGACACAATATGCTTAGGTTTTTTCGGTGAAGTCACGTAGGTAAAAAAAAATAAAAATTAATGAAAGTAAAATTTATTTTATTTTTATTTCAAAAATAAAAATTCGTGAAAGTTAAATTTATTTTATTTTTATTTCGCTTTTATTCATTTAAGGAATCTAACCCGCACGACCCTGGGCAGGGAGCTTGGGTGGGTGGTGATGGTGGTGGTGATGGTGATGATGGTGATGGTGGTGGTGATGGTGGTGGTGGTGGTGATGGTGATGATGGTGATGGTGGTGATGGTGGTGGTGATGGTGGTGGTGGTGGTGATGGTGGTGGTGATGGTGGTGGTGGTGATGGTGGTGATGATGGTGATGATGATGGTGGTGATGATGATGGTGGTGATGATGATGGTGGTGGTGATGGTGGTGATGGTGGTGATGATGGTGGTGATGGTGATGGTGGTGATGATGGTGATGGTGGTGATGGTGATGGTGGTGATGGTGGTAATGGTGGTGATGATGGTGATGATGGTGGTGATGGTGGTGATGGTGGTGGTGGTGATGGTGGTGATGATGGTGATGGTGGTGGTGATGGTGGTGATGGTGATGATGATGGTGATGGTGGTGATGGTGGTGATGGTGGTGATGATGATGCTGGTGGTGGTGGTGACGGTGGTGATGGTGGTGATTGATGGTGATGGTGGTGATGGTGATGGTGGTGATGGTGGTGGTGGTGGTGATGATGGTGGTGATGGTGGTGATGGTGGTGGTGGTGATGGTGGTGGTGATGTTGATGGTGGTGATGATGATGGTGATGGTGGTGATGATGATGGTGATGATGTTGATGGTGGTGATGATGATGGTGATGCTGATGGTGGTGATGATGGTGATGGTGGTGATGATGATGGTGGTGATGGTGGTGGTGATGGTGGTGGTGATGATGGTGATGGTGGTGATGATGGTGGTGATGATGGTGATGGGGCATTGGTTGATTAAAGGAGCTCAAATTGTGGCTGCGTTTCTCCGACTCCCCGCGTCTCTGTGGATTGCAACTTTCAGCGGCCGTCGCCAGCGTCAAGAAGAGCTTTGGGACCGTCCATAAATGACGTCACGCACCTAGGGGGGGGTGGGGGGGGTCAGACATTTGTGACGATGTGTGACGAGGGGGGGGGGGGGGGTTGAGAAATGTGACGTCACATCAAAATTCGCAACTTTATAAATAAATATAGACAACACGTTCTACTTATATTCTTGGTTCTTTCGGTAAAGTCACGTAGAAGGGAAATAATAAAATAAGAGAAAGAAACAAAATATATAAAAAAAATTATCACAATTTGTGAAATAAAAAAATATATAAAACAATAAAAATTATCACAATTTGTGAAATAAAAAAATATATAAAACAATAAAAATTCTCACAAATTGTGAGAATTTTTATTGTTTTATGATATTTTTTATTGTTTAATATTTTTATTTCACAATTTGTGTTGTGGCCGAAACGTCGTGAGAATTATTTTATTATGTTTTATTTTTATTATTTTATTCTTCTTCTTGGTTCTTTCGGTAAAGTTACTTATAAAGAAATGAATAAAATAATATTACATTATTTTATTATATCACATTATTTTCTTATATTATTATATTATTTTATATTATATTATTTTATTATGTTTTATTTTTATTATTTTATTACTTCCCTTCTACGTGACTTTACCGAAAGAACCAAGAAGATGAATCCCTGCAGTCACGAAAGCTTTAAATCGAAAGTTGCCTTGTTGTTGTTGATAGCCAACATCCCAGTTGTGTGTTGGGAGCTGTCCTCGTGACGAATCGGCCGCGTTTCTGTTGACGTCACAAACCCTTTTCACTGATTGGCCGTCGAGACTTCGAACGGCTCGTCAAGTCAACAAAACGCGGCCAATTCGTTACTGCTACAGCGCTGTGCGTCACGTGTAGGTGACGTCACGTGTCACGTGTAGCTACGTCACGTGTAGCTACGTCACGTGTAGCTACGTCACGTGTAGCTACGTCACATGTCACGTGTAGCTACGTCACGTGTCACGTGTAGCTACGTCACGTGTAGCTGTGTCACGTGTAGCTGCGTCACGTGTAGCTACGTCACGTGTCACGTGTAGCTGCGTCACGTGTAGCTGCGTCACGTGTAGCTGCGTCATGTGTAGCTACGTCACGTGTCACGTGTAGCTGCGTCACGTGTAGCTGCGTCACGTGTAGCTGTGTCACGTGTAGTTACGTCACGTGTAGCTACGTCACGTGTAGCTGTGTCACGTGTAGCCACGTCACGTGTAGCTACGTCACGTGTAGCTACTTCACGTGCAGCTGTGTCACGTGTAGCTACGTCACGTGTAGCTACGTCACGTGTAGCTGTGTCACGTGTAGCCACGTCACATGTAGCTACGTCACGTGTAGCTACGTCACGTGTAGCTGTGTCACGTGTAGCCACGTCACGTGTAGCTGCGTCACGTGTAGCTGTGTCACGTGTAGCCACGTCACGTGTAGCTGCGTCACGTGTAGCTGTGTCATGTGTAGCCACGTCACGTGTAGCTGCGTCACGTGTAGCTACGTCACGTGTAGCTGCGTCACGTGTAGCTGTGTCACGTGTAGGTGGGGTCACGTGTAGCTACGTCACGTGTATCTACGTCACGTGTAGGTGGGGTCACGTGTAGCTATGTCACGTGTAGGTGGGGTCACGTGTAGCTACGTCACGTGTAGCTACGTCACGTGTAGGTGGGGTCACGTGTAGCTGTGTCACGTGTAGGTGGGGTCACGTGTAGCTACGTCACGTGTAGCTACGTCACGTGTAGGTGGGGTCACGTGTAGCTACGTCACGTGTAGCTACGTCACGTGTAGCTGCGTCACGTGTAGCTACGTCACGTGTCACGTGTAGCTGCGTCACGTGTAGCTGCGTCACGTGTAGCTACGTCACGTGTAGCTACGTCATGTGTCACGTGTAGCTGCGTCACGTGTAGCTGCGTCACATGTAGCTACGTCACGTGTCACGTGTAGCTGCGTCACGTGTAGCTGCGTCACGTGTAGCTGCGTCACGTGTAGCTACGTCACGTGTCACGTGTAGCTGCGTCACGTGTATCTACGTCACGTGTCACGTGTAGCTGCGTCACGTGTAGCTGCGTCACGTGTAGCTACGTCACGTGTCACGTGTAGCTACGTCACGTGTAGCTGCGTCACGTGTAGCTACGTCACGTGTCACGTGTAGCTACGTCACGTGTAGCTGCGTCACGTGTATCTACGTCACGTGTCACGTGTAGCTGCATCACGTGTAGCTGCGTCACGTGTATCTACGTCACGTGTCACGTGTAGCTGCGTCACGTGTAGCTGCGTCACGTGTAGCTGTGTCACGTGTAGCTACGTCACGTGTAGCTACGTCACGTGTAGCTGCGTCACGTGTAGCTACGTCACGTGTAGCTACGTCACGTGTAGCTACGTCACGTGTCACGTGTAGCTGCGTCACGTGTAGCTGCGTCACGTGTAGCTGCGTCACGTGTAGCTACGTTACGTGTAGCTACGTCACGTGTATCTACGTCACGTGTCACGTGTAGCTGCGTCACGTGTAGCTGCGTCACGTGTAGCTGTGTCACGTGTAGCTACGTCACGTGTAGCTACGTCACGTGTAGCTGCGTCACGTGTAGCTGCGTCACGTGTAGCTACGTCACGTGTAGCTACGTCACGTGTCACGTGTAGCTGCGTCACGTGTAGCTACGTCACGTGTAGCTGCGTCACGTGTAGCTGCGTCACGTGTAGCTGCGTCACGTGTAGCTACGTCACGTGTCACGTGTAGCTGCGTCAGGTGTAGCTGCGTCACGTGTAGCTGCGTCAGGTGTAGCTGCGTCACGTGTAGCTGCGTCACGTGTAGCTGCGTCACGTGTAGCTGCGTCACGTGTAGCTGCGTCACGTGTCACGTGTAGGTGACGTCACGTGTAGCTACGTCACGTGTAGCTGTGTCACGTGTAGCTGTGTCACGTGTAGCTACGTCACGTGTAGCTACGTCACGTCACGTGTAGCTACGTCACGTGTAGCTGCGTCACGTGTAGCTGCGTCACGTGTAGCTACGTCACGTGTAGCTACGTCACGTGTAGCTGCGTCACGTGTAGCTGCGTCACGTGTAGCTACGTCACGTGTAGCTGTGTCACGTGTAGCTACGTCACGTGTAGCTACGTCAC